TAAGACAGATAATGTGTTGAAAAAAAATTATTAGCTGCAAGTGTGCGCTTGTGTGCGTGATGTGCACTAGCATGCGCGGGCGGATGCGTGTTCGTGTGCGTTTGAGGGAGTAAGTGTGGTTGTGGTGTCAATGTGATAGGAAACCCTTAAATCCACCTGACAGACTGATTCAGCCATGGAATCTTTGCCCCGCGCCCTCCTGTTCTCCTTCGTAGTCAGGCGTCACTTAGCTCTGCTATGCTGGTTCATTTCTATTTCCACTGGGATTTAAATGTGGTTCTGGTGTTCATGATAACAACCCAGGTAGAGGGTTTGTATCTTCTGTTTGTTTTGTGAGGAAACATTCGCCCCCCGGATTAACTATAACAAACATGAAGAAAAAAAAGTCCACCATATTTTCTGATTCATGGTAATGGAAAAAAAAGAAAAAATTAATTGTTTAACCAAAAACCGACACTGAAAACTAAGAATTTTCATTCCATGTTTGCAATGGTTTTCATATCAGGATAAAACTGAAACATGGCACAGCCCCCTGGCTGCATGCCAGAGAACTACAACTGAGCAGTTTCGACAGACTGACTAGTTAATTCCCTTTTTAAGTCATGGGTTGAATTTTAATGAAGACAAAAGCACAGATGGGGTGGATTTTTATGTCACAAAACAGGACACTTCCTGAAGCATGTCTTAACCAAAGATGTTATTTCAGGCATTTAACCAAAATCCCACTCACAGCATGACCATTTTCTGACACATGCATCAGCAGAGTGTCAAACTGATGTTGGATTTTCAGCACCGGATCTGTGTATTTATTGCAGCTGCTCCAGACATATGAATTAAGGGACAGTCCAGGTGATTACTTAGTCTACTCTTCTTTAGATTATAAACTAATCTGAAAGGCTCTTGGCGTACCTGTAACCTCAGGCCTTTTTCAAATCAATTTACTGACTGGAGTCTACCTTTAAAATTTCTATGGGTATGAAATTAAAATAATAATAAAAAATAAAACAGTGTGTGCAGCCTAAAATTGCACAGTTTAAACCCCACTGACTTACTATAGTACATACAAAACAGTATTTAAAGTATGAAAAGTACTATGAAAAGTCTATGGAAACATGAGGCTTTGACTTATTTCTAACATCAGTCAACTTTTTCCTGATGAAGCCTTTGGTCCCAACTCTGATTCAATGTGTTTTTAAATAAGTGATGGATGTTTTGTTAACTGATTTACTACTGGGAAAAGATCAAATGTGCTTTAACAGCAGATGGCACGTATGGGTGGACATCATGTGTGATTGACAGCTGGACTGTCCTAATGCACTGTGCAAACTGATATAGTTTAACTCATGAAACACTTGACGTCTGCTTTTCCCTAACGTAACATACAATACAAAATTGGCCTCATTTGCGATTCAGAAGAAAAAAGCCAGGGCTTATACACCACAAAACTTGACAATATCTCAATGCCAGCACCTCACCTGACAACATTGGCTCAAAACAAAAGACAAAGGTCCATTTCTGATGTTACGATCCATGCTCAAAACTCAATGTGACTGATTGTTATGGATTGCATGTGCAGCATCTGTCAGATTTAAAAGCCTATTTTATTTGATTGTCCTGAGATCCACTTTCTGCAGCTCACGTGATCCCAAATCAGCTCCTGTAGCATGCCCACTCAGATATCCAACCTATTTCTCATGAAGTACAAGGGCTTTTTCCAGATAAACGGTACATTAACATATCATCCACAACCAGTAGTCAGTCACACGCAAATGCTCTGGATTGTTAAAAAAAAACATGGCTCACATTCTGTTATTTTTAAGTGTGAGTGTTCCTTTAAATATTGTTTGGCTGTTACCGGAGAGCATGAACAGAAATACCAACAGCAAGAGGAGCATGTCTCTGTTTGTGTTCGCACTAATGGCCGAGCTCGTCTAAGTCAGCGTTTTTTTTAGGTTTACCTTTAACAAGCATGTGATCAGAAGATGACAACGTGACCCAAAGGGCTTTATTTTCTAGTTTTAATAAGGGTCTCAGTAATGAACAAGGCTTTGGCATTACAATTTTTTCTGCGTAAAAGAAATAAGATGTCCAATTGACCTGATGTCAAGATTTTTGGGTTTACAGTCTTTTGAAGATTTACATTCATCATCATTCAGACGTTTTCTTTTACTTTTAAAGATGTTCTCTTGCGTCATGCTTAGATTCTGTCCCTTTCACAGGTCCTCACAACATGAAAACAGTTCTTTGTCATTCTTTGGTCATCTTGAGTGACAGATTTACTGACAGAAAATGTGCTGCTATGACACTCACCCTCAACAGATGGAGTTCTTTTGTTCATTTTTATTTGTACTGCTGCTAATGTCTTAACATATATGTATATATATTTTACTGACAAAGAAATCAGAAAAATGCGAGGCTAGAAGCCAATGTGTGTGCGTGTCTGCATACCTTCATAGAAAGAGATTCTTGGAGAGACCTTCGGGCTCCACATCTTCACGACCTCGGTCCTTGTGCGCCACATTTCCAACGTTTTAGATTCCTGGCTGGTAATCACTGCAGCGAGAGGAAGTCGTAACTTTATTTATGAAAGTAACAAAGCTATTTCCTTACATGTCCTCTGTTAAGTCCTAACACTTCTGCAAGCATCGTTTCCATCAGATAATTCCTTCTTTGTAGTATTCTTGTGGCTATCTTTCATACAAGGGCACAACCTGCTCCTTTGCCTCATCCAAGAACTGAATTAGAGTTGTTTTCAAGTATTCTTTTAATGAGGGTGGTAATGTTCCAACACTTTCATTACCATTGGGTAAAAAATAATGTGATTTTAAAATAGTTTTACAGAGTTGACAGCTCAACACTCGACAAAGATGATTTAACTCAAAGCTGTTTGGATGCCTGAAGATGTGTCCTAACGTGTTTTAGTTATTAAAATCACACCACATTTTGAATTACAATTTCACACTTGCAAATTATCGACTCATCCTTCCACTGATGACAAATCTAAATAGACACTTCTCCACTATCTCGACAAAATATCTTTCTCCACTGACCAACAGTGGTGGTCGCTGCAATTTCATCTTTTTCTATGTATTTTGTGTGATTTTTGCTTCAATTCAATAAGTCAGACAATTTTCTGATCTGATTCAGCTCCGGGAAGAAGAGAAGCAGCATTTATGAACCTCTGCGCCAGAACTTTGTTACATTTTTTTATTACACCACTGTACAACGTAAGAAAGCAGCATTAGCTCATACAGTACACATGACTTTTTTTAGCTCTCTGTGTTAGCAGGTGTAACAAGACTGTTGAATCTGCTGCACACGGTTAACCTGTAGTCATCTGGAGGCCTGATTTGCCTTACATGCGGCGCTGAGTCCTGACTTAACTTCCTGGATTATCGTCTCCACCCTGTGCTTCTGTTGAC